AGCACCCAACCAAGAAAATTGATGAAAAGCAGCAAACAGATAGCAAGCTAACAAATAGACTTAAAACCTGCAAATGCAATTCCCTGCTAACAAATGATATGAAGCAGACACACTGAAGGCCAGTAATGAGAATTAGAATGACACAAACTAGATAATAATCATAAAAATTAAAAACCAAATAAAAAACCACACACAAACCAACATATTGTTGACTATATCCATGCCAGCACTCTATTCTCTCAAAACAGGATTTCTTCTTTAATGCTGAGAAATCTTCTAATAGGGACACTTGCTCCGTGGGTAACTGTCTAAGACAGGTCATAGACGATGAGATTTTATTTCCTGCAATCAATCACAGTCAGTGTTGATGAAGGAATCCTGCTCGCAGAGATACGGTGTTCTCCCGATGGAGGGGGCATCGTCCCTACTGGGAGAGCACAGCGATTATTACTAGCGGCTATAGCCACTGGCAATAATTGCATGAATAGTACAACAGGCTGGTCATACCCCAGTCATACAACAATCAAATTGCGTACAACCAGCCTGCCTATAAATGGTTTGAAGCTGGGTCCCTGCTGAACCGGCTGAGATTGGAATCATCTATAGCCTGTTTAAGAGGGGCATTTCTCCCTCTTTGGGAGAATCCACTAACCTTGTTGTTGGGTCTCTGGGACAGGAACTGAAGGATAGAAAAAAAAAAACATTTTTTTTTTTAATCGACCAATAGTACAGAAAAAGCAAGGGTCAATCTATGTACCATCAGCAGGAAGTAATAAAATATTAGGTGAACTATGCCAATCCTATTACTTAGGATGATTGATTGTGACAATTTTCCTTTCATAAATTTGTTAGATCAGATTGTTGTGGGACTACAGTAGAAATTATTAGCTTTGTGTGAACATTTAACTGTGTATGAACAACCTAACTTAAAAATGAAAGGAATACTCGCCCATTGTATTACATTAAATAATAATTTACATTGTTCACATTAGACAGCCCTAAACAGGTCTATGAGAGCTCACTGGTGCAGCATTAAAGAAGAATACTGTTGAACGCGGTCAACAATTCCACAGATTAGAACAGGCCTCAATTGTCTCCAAGAGTTAACTAAACAGATGCAAAGGGTTGTTGATAATATAGAATCGGGTAGCTAGGGAGTGTGGGTTAGTCAACATTTCCTTAGCGTACCCTTACGCTTTAAAGGTGTCAAGATCAACTTACATGATGATAGCAACAGCAGCCCTGACATGTCAAGACAGCTGAAAATAGCTTCAACTTTTGTCAATTTGCTAATATTATTTATTAGGATGCAACAAAGATAAAGGTGTTCTGCCTTTATATACGACAAACCAATGCTCTCCTGGAATGTTGCTTTTTCAGAAGCTCTCCCATCCAGCTAATTCCCTGACTGGCTATGTTCTAGTTTAGGAGAAATGTGTTACAATTTGATGCATCAATAAATAAATAAATGTAATTTGTTAGTGTGACATTCATATAACATCAAGCCAAGTTTGCAAGTACAGAAATTTGAATGGCGGCAACATTTAAAGTGGATTTCCACCCCAAAGTGAAAGCTCTGCTCGTTTGTCTGCTCCCCCCTTCACTACCATATCTGGCACCTTTTGGGGGGGGGGGGGGGGGGGATTAGCGGACACCTGGTTTTGACAGGTACCCGCTCCCACTTCTGGCTCGGTTCGCCTTGGCCTTTATATACAACGGTCAGACGGGAAGTGGTTAAAAGTCAGCAGCTAGTTTTTTTTAGCTGCTGACTTTTAACAAACACAAAAACAGCTGGAACTCTGCTTTAAGTAACTGTAACATTGATGTTAAATTTCTGATTGAAATTGCATTCCCTTGGATGGTCAAAAGCAAATGACTGTCAAAGGATTCAAGTTAACAGCTGGGACCTTGAAGTTAGTGGGGAGAAGAAATCATTTTATAGATTTATTTCTCATTTATCAATTTTTTTTTTTTTACATTTTTTTTCTTCCTAGGGAGTCTTGAGGTCAGGGGAGGCTTAACCACTTGAGCACCTGAGGATTTACCCCCCTTAATGACCAGGCCTCTTTTTGCTACTCGGCGCTGCACTAATTCAACTGATAATTGCGCGGTCATGCAATGCTGCACCCAAACGAAATTTACGTCCTTTTTTTCACACAAATAGAGCTTTCTTTTGGTGTAATTTGATCACCTGTGCGCTTTTTATTTTTCACGCTATAAACAACAAAAGGGCAAAAATTGTGAAGAAAAACAGTATTTTTTACTTTCAGCTATAAAAAAATATATAGTAAACTCAAAGTTGGTTATAAATTTAGGCCAAAATGTATTCTGCTACATGTTTTTGGTAAAAAAAATTCCAATAGGTGTATATTGATTGCTTTGTGTGGAAGTTATAGCGTCTACAAACGATGGTATAAATACTGCAATTTACGCCCATTTTTTCAGCTTTACAGCGCTGCGCTAGTTTAACGGACAATTGCACGGTCATGCAATACGGTACATAAATGAAATTTACATCCTTTTTTTCCCCACAAATTGAGCTTTCTTTCGGTGGTATTTGATCGCCTGTGCGGTTTTTATTTTTTGCGCTATAAAAAAAAGGCTGACAATTTTGAGGGAAAAAAAAAAACAATATTTTGGACTTTTTGCTATAAAACATGTCCAGTAAAAAAAAAAAAAAAATGCAAAAATCAAATTTAGTCATAAATTTCTGCCAAAATGCATTCTGCGACATGTCTTTGCTAAAAAAAAATCCAATACGTGTAAATTAATTGGTTTACGTGAAAGTTATAGCGTTTACAAATGGCGGGAAAGATACTGGAATTTTTAATCTTTATTTATACTAATAATGGCGCCGATCAGCGACTTATGGCGGCGATCAGCGACATATGGCGGCGACCAGCGACTTATGGCAGGACTGCGGGACAGTGACGGACATTTTGACACTGGGGGGGGGGGGGGGAACTGACTTGGGGTCACTGACATCCCCAGTGACACCAATACAGTGATCAGTGAAAAAAAAACCACTGAAACTGTACTAATGTCACTGGGGAGGAAGGGGTTAACATTTTTAGAATTTGCAGTGTAAGGGGAGTGTTTTACTAGGGGGCGGGGGTGTGTACTGGACGGGGGGGGGGGAGGGGGGGGGAGCTGATCGAGGGAGAGAAACTCTGCAGCTTCTCACAAGCTGTCAGAGAACTGACACAGAACAGGGCTGTGTGCAAACAATGCACCCCTGCTCTGTGTCAGCGATCACCGGCAATCGCGGGAAAAAGGCCGGTAAAAACCGTCCGTGACCCGTCAGCTGACACCCGCTGCTGACACCCGCGGGACAGGTAGGGCGGGGCGCGCGCCCCCTACCTGTTTTGAAGGCAGCCGTTTTTTAAAACGTGCTTTTGCCTACGAGCGCCGCCCTGCCACTGTTTATATGCGGTGGCTGGGTGGTAAGTGGTTAAAGTGGTATTAAACCCAAAAGCAAACATGTATCATATTGCAGGTTACCAAAATTTAGATGTGATGTTGTATTCATTTTCTTTTTTAGGCTTTCTTCTATATTTATCTGGTGAGCCAGCCAGTAAGCTCTCCAGCAGAATGTATCAGTTACAGAGATGAGACAAACCATTTAACACTAGCAGGGGTGCTTACAACTATCAGCTGTTATTTATGTAAAACCTTTATCCCAAAAGGAAAATAACGGTTTGCTGTAAATGATTATAAGGCGTGAGCTGGAGATTGGTTTCAATTTATTCATGTATTTATTCTGCTAGTCCAACACCCCCTCAGACTGACAATGCTGTTGTCCAAAAATGCCCCCTGTGGTAATTAATCCAGAGTGGAGGCACTCTAATATAAGAGGTGTCTTACTGGCCAGATAACCAGGCGAAAACAGAGGGGAAAAAAAACCTAAGAAAAGAAAGCTAATGCAACATTTTTGGTTTTGGATTTACAACAGCTTTAATTCTACCCCCTTCATGCATCACTGCAGCAACAGATCAGTTACAATAGTAACCTATTGCTGTTGTTATATGCAAGCACTATATTACTACTGAAATAGTAATATGCCGGTACCATGTGACCGCATGTGACCAATCACAGCAGGTCACATGACCATTGTAAACAATGAATGGCTTCCTTTCATGCCATCCACTGTATACAATTGTGTTGCTAGCTGTGATTGGTCACAGTGATCACATGGTACAGACTGGGCCAATCACAGCTCATCTGTATCATGTAATTAGCTGTGGCCAATCACAGCTAATCACAACAAAAAACACTGAATAAATCGACTTCATTCAGTTAAATGCTTGCTTGAAGTAATAAAATTCACTGCTATAGGCAATAAAAATGAAAAAAAAATTATATATATATATATAAAAAAAAAAAAGAAAAAAAAATCAACCATGAAAAAAAAAAAAATATATATATATATATATATTTATTTATTTTTTTTTTTTTCTTCTTTCATAGGTCACCAGTCAGTGTCCTTGATCACTGCCACACCAGTTATGCGATACCGCTGTACTGCACTAGTGACAGTATGTAAAACATTTTTTTTTTAATTTCCAAAAAATGACAAAAAAATTACAACTGAAAAAAACTCGCCATGCCTCTTACTAAATATCGCAGACTGTCTACTTTCCAAAAAGGGGTAATTTGGGGATATCTGTACTGTCCTGACATTTTTGGGTCTTGGGAAATGATATAGGCCAGATTGATTGATTTTCAGATATATACCATAAGTTTGTGGACTCTATAACTTTCCTACAGTCTTAATAACATACACTAATTTGGGTTATTTTCACCAAAGAAATGTAGCAGTAGACATTTTGGCCTAAACTTATGAAGAACAATTATTTATTTGCAAAATTTTGGCAAACTATGAGAGCGCTGAAAGGTGAAAATTGGCCTGGGCAGGAAAGGGTAAACGTGCCGGTTTTGAAGTTGTTAAATGACAAGAAAGAAATATTTATTATTGTTTACAGTACAGCGCAATTCCCAACCTTCAAAAGATTCTCTGTACTGGACAATGTTTGGATGCTTCATGTTTGCCAGCACGGCAACTTCTCTCCTTGATTCCTCCCTCTCTTTGTTGGACATCTGAAAAAAATAAATGTAGTATATTGATCAATACACCAGAACACACAACAAACATATCAAACCAGAACACACCGTTTGTAACAGTTAAGACAAAAATACTGTAACCTTCCATACAGTGCCCGAATACATAAGGCGACAACCCTTCCCAAGCTTAGTCAACAAATGCAGAGCTTCTGTCCCGAAGAATGTAGATGCACAGTACTGGAAAGAACACTTACCGTATTTTTCGCACCATAAGACGCACTTTTTTCTCCCCAAAAAAGGGGGGGAAATGTCAGTGCGTCTTATGGAGCGAATATGGAGCGGCCGGTCCGGTATTTCCACTGCCGCCGTGTCAGAATACCGGGCCGGCAGCTCAGCTCTACAGCGGGACCTTATAGAGATGACTGCTGACCTTTGGGGAGGGGGGGGGGAGCGGGTACCTGAATCTGACAGATACCCGCTCCCACTTCCGTGGAGTTGTTCTTTCATCTTACCCGTTCCTCTATCCAGCGGCGCGGTCTTCCCGGCTTCTGTAGTGTGGGCATGACAGCCGGGTGCCAAGTGCGCATGCGCAAGGAAGCGGTGCTTTTTGTGAATGGTAAGGCGGCACCTGGGACACATGACAGATCCCAGAAGCCGCCGGACCAATCACAAAGCGCAAGTGCTTCTTCTGCTCATGCGCACTGGGCACCCGGCTGTCATGCCGAGCGCCATTACAGAAAAACACAGCGCGCGGCTGGATAGAGGAACGGGTAAGATGAAAGAACAACTCCACGGAAGTGGGAGCGGGTACCTGTCAGATTCAGGTACCCGCTCCCCCCCCTCCCCAAAGGTCAGCAGTCATCTCCTGTACTATTCACAGTCTCTGGTCCCCTGCACCGTGTCCGCACCTGGTGCACCGTGTCCGCAGTCTCTGGTCATCTCCCAGCCCTGTACCGTGTCCGCAGTCTCTGGTCATCCCTGCACCGTGTCCGCAGTCTCTGGTCATCCCTGTACCGTGTCCGCAGTCTCTGGTCATCCCTGCACCGTGTCCGCAGTCTCCCCTGGTCATCCTGTCACCGTGTCCGCAGTCTCTGGTCATCCCCTGTACCGTGTCCGCAGTCTCTGGTCATCCCCTGCACCGTGTCCGCAGTCTCTTGTCATCTCCTGTGCACCGTGTCCGCAGTCTCTGGTCATCCCCTGCACCGTGTCCGCAGTCTCTGGTCATCCCCTGCACCGTGTCCGCAGTCTCTGGTCAACTCCTGCACCGTGTCCGCAGTCTCTGGTCATCTCCTGCACTGTGTCCGCAGTCTCTGGTCATCTCCTGCACTGTGTCCGCAGTCTCTGGTCATCTCCTGTACTGTGTCCGCAGTCTCTGGTCATCTCCTGTACTGTGGCCGCAGTCTCTGGTCATCTCCTGTACTGTGGCCGCAGTCTCTGGTCATCTCCTGTACTGTGTACCCCGCAGTCTCCTGGTCATCCCCTGAACTGTGTCCGCAGTCTCTGGTCATCTCCTGTACTATGTCCGCAGTCTCTGGTCATCTCCTGTACTGTGTCCGCAGTCTCTGGTCATCTCCTGTACTATGTCTGCAGTCCATTAGTTCAGAATATTTTTTTCCTGTTTTCATGCCTCTAAAACCTAGGTGCGTCTTCTTATGGTCAGGTGCGTCTTATGGAGCGAAAAATACGGTACTGGTGGCAGATCTATGTACTACAAAGACACACAAATCTGCTTACACGAGCTACAGTCTAAGTGGGCTGAAAAAACTTGGGTTACCCCACATGTACATATAGTTTATATGGATGTCACTACAGCACTCTATGGTGTGATTTACCTTAGGTTTTTCAGTAGTAAGCTCAAAACACTGCCTAGTATCCATGTAATGTCCAATGGCATCTTTAATCAGTGTTATCATTCTAGATAGTGCCGAGTGCCAAGTACAATCGAGGTAAGAGTTAAGGTTTTCTGAACTCCTCATATTTAGTATGGGAGCACAGAAAACTCTAGATGACCAAGGCAAATTTCAACATATAGTAAACCCTTACAGTATGTATTATTATTAATAATAATAATCAGGATTCATATAGTGCAGTTTGCGTAGCGCTTTACATCTTGAGGGCAAACCATACAGTTACAATACAATTAAAAAAAACAGGAGGAATGACAGGGCCCTGCTCATTAGTAGCTTACAATCGAAAAGAGGAGGGTCAAGTGATACAAAAAGGTAATAACTGTGGAGGATAAGCTGATGGAAAAAATACATGTACAGTTGTTAGGTGGAGGCAGGATAGGCTTCTCTGAAATGAAGTTTACAGAGAACACCTAAAAGTGGACAGAATAGGAGTCAGTCGGACAGATTGGGGTAGCGAATTCCATAGGATGGGAGAGGCTTGGGAGAAGTCTTGGAGGCGAGCATGAGAGGAGGTGACAAAGGAGATAGAGAGCAGGTCTTGGGAGGAACAAAGAGTGCGATGGCTTTGTAAGTTGTTAGTGTAGTGGTACATGAGGAGGCAGTAGAAGAGGAGTGCGGAGGGTATGAGAGCAGGCAGTATACGCAAAAAAAAAAAAAAAAAAAAAATGCTACACTACTCCAGGTTGGTCCATCTCAAGTGCTTAAATATAAAAAAAATGTATGTGACTTGCGAGCCAAACTATATATTCAATCAAGTGTTTCTATGGATCGCCAACATTTAACACATAACTCAAACTGTGCAACCTAATAATACATTTATAAATGTAGCGCTCCTTAAAAATATATTAATCCATGCTTGTGATTTTTGTGATAAAACAGCATAACATAATCAAATCATACTTTTATAGATAAAACAATTATAATGACATGATTTCAATAAAAAAATGTCCACATATAAAAAAATTTGATTATTACTTTACTCTAAAAAATATATAGTCCCATTAATCAATAAGTGATCCAAAAATCGTGACGTGGTGACTTATTAATCATAAAATAGTGACTTTCTGTGATCCTCCAACCAGTAAGATTGTGCGCTCACCTCCTTCTATGCCTAAAAAGTAGGCTACACACACTTGTAGTGCACACAACCTGGAACCTGCTGGATCAGCTGTAGCATATCATGGATAAGTGATCTCTCCTATGGATACCTCAATAAGCCCCTTAATAGCTGGATATCTTTGCAGGGATTTATCCCTCTTTGATCTGCCAGAAATCACCTGCTTTTCTCCTCCTGATTATCTCCTCCCCATTCGTTCCTTTCTGTTAGGACCTGGCCTCATGCTTGCCGATTTCTCGTCTACCATCTCAAGTGCTTGCCCCTATCTTCTTTTTAATTCAAGATTTTCAGTATAAAAAGCGTAAACCTTTGCTCTCCTTTTTTATGTGGCTGTGATGTTTTTAATCTTGAATTGCCATAATAAAGTTTTTGGATCTCGAATTCATCAGTGTGCAGCCATCCCTTTTTTGTTGTGCTAAGCAGTGTATGCAGGAAGGATTGCAGTGGCCATGATGTTGCACTCAATGTTTGGGAGAGGCTGGGGAATACTGTGAAAGCAAAGACAATGCACACAGACAGGGCGCAAAAGAAAAAAAGCAAGCAGCAGCATGTGTAGGAGGATAGGGCATACATTTACTAGTTTTTATTAGTATGACAGAGAAATCAATGTCCAATGACACGCTGATCACAGGGAAATGCAAGTGCCGGTTCTCGGCTGCACTTTCCTCACGCTGTCAGATCGTGAGGAGGAAAGTACTGCCGAGAACCGGCAGTTGTCAGAGCGGGGATCGGCACCGATCATCAGGGCACTGATGATCAGTGCTCTGATGATCGGTGCCCAGCAGTGCCACCCGCAAGTTCCGCCCACCTGTGCCCAGCAGTGCGCCCACACTAGCTCCGCCCACCTGTGCCCAGCAGTGCACCCACCTGTGCCCAGCAGTGCACCCACCTGTGCCACTCTGCAGTGTCACACACCTGTGCCCAGAAGTGCCACCTACCTGTGCCCAGAAGTGCCACCCACCTGTGCTGCCCACCAGTGCGGCCCACCAGTGCTGCCAGTCAGTGCCCAGCGGTTGTGCCAGTCAGTGCCGCCAGTCAGTGCCCAGCAGTGATGCCAGTCAGTGCCGTCTATCAGTACCCATCATCAGTGTCACCTATCAGTGCTGCATATTAGTGCTGCCTATCCGTGACACCTCATTAGTGCTGCCTATCAGTGCCGCCTATCCGTGCCACCTCATTAGTACTGCCTATCAGTGCCCTTTAGTGCTGCCTATCAGTGCCCATCAGTGCCGCCTATCAGTGCCCATCAGTGCTGCCTCATCAACGCACATCAGTGAAGGAGAAACATTACCTGATTGAAGAATTTTATAATAGAAACAAAAACTTTTTTTTTTTTTTTCAAATTTTTTGCACTTTTTAATTTATAGCGCAAAAAAGTAAAGCACCCAGTGGCGATTAAATACCACCAAAAGAAAGCTCTATTTGTGAGAAAAATTATCAAAATTTTATATGGGTACAATGTTGCATGACCGCGCAATTGTCAACCAAAGTGCGGCAGCGCTGAAAGCTGAAAATTGGCCTGGTAAATAAGGGGATATAAGTGCCTGGTAGGCAAGTGGTTAAAGTCAAAAGCGATTTTAGACCAGCTAGAGAACAGCGATAGTAAATCAGAACCACTTGCAGAATTGAGTGATGATTCGTGGGGAAATTCGTCATCAGAGACTGAAAACAATTTTGCGACTTTGCTCAGTGATGTGCGAACTTAGCGCTATATTTCAAATTTCAGTATTTTTGGTTTGATTATATTATTGAATTAAATTTATTATATTATTAGTTTTTATGATTATTTATTAAATTATAATTTATGATTTCGTGTTTCAAATTTTATCATACCCGGGATGTTTAATAGACTCTTGTTCGGACAGATTTCAGTGAGTTATTCCTAAAAATTACAGGCCTACAATAAAAAAAAAAATACATATTTCCATGCAAAAAAAGTACCGCTTTGAGTACAGAAATACTGACATAATCAGACCGCTAGGGAGGTTAAACGATGAATTAATTATATT